AAAGATATAGTCAGGCCGTCAGCATATTTAACAAACTTGATGTGATTTGAAGATGAAAGACAGAAAGATGAAATAAAAAAAAGAATTGGGGAAAGTACAGCACCTTGGGGGATACCAGCTTCAGTGAGCACAGCAGAGGAGGATTTACCTTTGTATACAGTGTACTGCATTCTGTTTGACAAGTAGGAATGCAACCAGTTAATGTCTCAGGACTCAGTTTGTGTCATAGAGAGCTCACTTAGCAAGAGACATCTAGGTACAGAGTCGAAAGTAGAAGTGAAGTCGAGAAACGTGCATCGGACGTATTTGGCACCTTTATCTAATGATGAGACGATACTGTTGTGTAAGACGGTTGCAGCTTCTAAAGTGCTCCTACCCTATCTATATGCAAAATGTTTGGGGCCTTCAAAGCTTTTAAGGGAGGGTTCAAGTTTAAGAAGTACTAGGTCTTCCATAAGCTTTAGAAACGGGGAAGTGATGGCAATGGGTCTGAATTTTACGTTCTTGCTATTTCCAGGTTTAGGGACAGGGACTATTTTAATGTCTTTCCATGCAACAGTTACGTTTTCGGAAAAAGAAGCATTTAGGATGTTAGTTAGTGGAGAACATAAAGCATCTGCACATACTTGTGCGTCGGTGGTATAGTGGTTAGGATACTCGCCGACCATGCACCTAGTCCGGGGTTCGATCCCCGGCCACCGACACCTCGCTAAGCCAGAAATAATGCTGGTAAAGAGGAAAGGTTGGGCATGAGGCTAGCAACCCCATCCTGTAAAATAAACTCTGCTACAGAAACTTCAAGCCACTAGCTTGAAGCCCTATGTCCCACTGGGGAACGTGAAGGGAAAATTATTTATTGTTATTTTATTACATACTTGTTGAGCCAAAGGTTCTTGTTTGGTTTGTCCTCAAAGTTCCTTGTTGTTAATTATTTCTAGCCACTTAAAAGGCAAATGCTGATAAAAGCCTGAAAATTGTTGGCAATCCTTTTCCACTGGTTATAAGTCGACTGTCCAGCTCTATGCACCATGGTTACCATTCTTATCAAGGACACAGAAGTTTAATAAGTAGCGATCAAAACAAAGTAGATTCTCTACCTTAAAGTCGACAAGTTTGTTTATGTTTGCTTTGTCAACAGTTTCGGCATACATTTGAGATTTTAGACTAAAATAGGCAATCTCTAAGACGTCATATATTAAGGACACTTTTCATTAGTTAGACAAGGTCTGTTGTCTATCAGTCATTTGTGTATTCTTCATTTATTTTACCGAAGAAATGACTTCTGAAAACCCCGTCTCAAAATATTTTACCGCCGAAAACAACGCCCCCCTTATAAACGGGAATTCATATAAATACTAAATTAGACGTATTAGTATTTAGACTCCATTAGCTTTTTAAATAACTTACAGTATAAAGTATCAAATAAAGTTCCATTGTGGTGTGTACTATTGATAAGGTTTATCAGTAGTGTATAAAGAGATGTTAGTCGGCACAAAAACATCATATAGCAGGGAGATCGATTTGACATCAAAGAAGGCAAATGACTCAGTGTTGAGGAGATACGTGGGAGACGTTAAAAGGAAGACAAAGACACACAATACGAAGGGCAGAACTAGCACAACACGGAAGATCTGTGCAAATGATGCGTTGAAGATAAGGTGTACATAATTTCGCCGTATAGAGATACTGGATGCCGTGGGCCGTCAGCTCATGATTAAATCCTCCATGCAATCAAACAAAATCCTTACAAAACACCATACTTTTAAGAATTTGACAATAATTATGACAGTTAGTTAAAAGTTTTACATTGAGTTTACACATCCCCACTATTTAATTGTATTAAGGTATCCAGGTTACACTCTATATAACCTCTTTTTGTTTAAATTAATCATTTACCATTTCTCTCTCAAACAGAGACAACAGTCAAGTTTATTAAACAAAAAGTGTGTTAGCCTAACTAAAAACAACGTTAGGCTTTTCCTCATTATTAATTCATTCATTTCCATTATAACCCCAAACCAATTGATGCTGCTATTGTGTTATAATTGTGTATAATTTTATTCCCTAATTTATTCCATTTTATCACTTAACAAATTTACTCTTTTTAGGCTACATATTGTCCTACTTCAAGAAAGAAGCAAAAAAAAGAAACGTTTCTTTTATCTTATAGAAAATGCTGTATTGTCATGACAACATATGTCATTTGAAAAGTAAAACAAAAATAAATTTTCTGATAAAAGAGATATTATAATACCATGGTGAATGAAAATCTAACTGTATTCAAAATTTAAGAATAAATGTTGACCTTAATAATAACAGACATTGATGGTTGGTCATGCTAAAGTCACGAATTGATAGAAGTTAGAATTCATGAACTGACCATTAAGTCGATTCCCAGTGGCTGAACGGTATACGAACTTGCCTTCTAACCGGAAGGGCCTTGGTTCGATGATATTAGCTAGCTGTCAGACTAAATTTACAAGTTGACAGAAGTTAGAATTCATGGGCTAAATGATCAACGAGCTTGAATTTGTAACCTGATGGCCTTCAGTTCGATCCCAGATTATGTCGTGAATGCATACTGCTGAAGAATCCCAAATTAGGATAAAACATCTGTCTGCCACTCTCTGGGTTCTAGTAGTTCGCTAAGTGACACAAGCACATGATCAAACTTTAAAAAATTGGTTAACTGTTTCTTTTGATTTATACAGTTTGAATTAACTTAAATAAATTTTGTTACGATCAAGACCAAAATGAAAAATCTTGCAGAAAAATAAATCACAAGTTTAAAGATAATACGATTTTCAAAAAAAACAATTTTTTGCGGAACGAAAATTCACTAGTCCACATCATTTGCAAGTATAAAAGCGAATTGATGTCTCTATGTCATGAATTGGCAGAAGTTAGAATTCATAGACTGGCCAATGGATCGGGTCCCAGTGGCTTTATAGTCTACCAGCTTACTTTGCAACCAGAGGGTCCTTGGTTCGAACCCCGGTGGTTGCGTACTGCTGAAGAGTCCCAGACTAGGCTAACGAAACACCTGTTCAGTACTCCCAGCTGGTTATCCAATGGTTCTCTAACTGATGTCAGCTCATGATGAAATCCTCCAACCCGTCAAACGAAAATGCACCCAAGTGTCATGTTATTTTAAACATGTTGGCTCAAATTTCGATGAGCAGAGAATAATGACTGCACAAATAAATTCATGATCAGTTAGTAATTTTTTTATTCCTTTGCGTTCGCAGTGGAACATAGGGCTCAAAGCTAGAATCTTGAAGTTTCTGTAGCAGCGCTGACTTTTACGGGATGGGGTTGCTAGCCTCATACCCAACCTTCCCTCTTTACTAGGTATATTACCGGCTTAGCGAGGTAAAGGAGTGAGTGCGTCTGTGGCCTGGGATCGAATCCCGGATCACGTGCATGGTTGGTGATAATCATTGCTATAATTTTTGTTCAAGAGATATACGGGAAGGCACTACGTGACAACTTCACTTATCTCCCTTAAGAAAAATAAGAGGATTCCGGATTAATTGGTTTGTAGTCGATCAACCACAAATCTGTTTGCAATTTGTATCTAAATTACTCACCAATGACTATCAGGTGTGAAGACATATTCCTACCTTCACATCAAAGTCTATCTAACAAATATCTCAAGTCGGTATTTAAGTTAAACAACACGAACCCAAAGCTTACTAGACGTTAGTCACCAAAATGATTTTATGCTTCTTGAAACTAATAAACCTATGGAACTCAAATCTAGGCTCCTGACTCCTGAAGCTACAAATTCTGGCACCATCAATCATCTCTAAACATAGAAACTTTGTGCAGGAGGGGAAAGGAATACTTACGGGTAATCACGGAGCTACCTAAAAATAAGACTCCAGAATGGAAAACAGATGTGCTGCTGAAGTCGTGTGCTGTTCCACATGAAAACCAAGCGAATAATAACAATAATGTACATGTCTTAAAAGGAGGATTATAAAGTCTATTACATTCATTTTCCAGACCCTATTCAAATCTTATCAAAACAGTTGGCAGAGTTAAGTCGATTGACACAGCTGGATTCGCTCTGTCTGAGAAAACACCAGTATGAATTATTTAATACTATTCTGAGAATTTCTCTTTCTAACAAAGTCATGTCGCCCTTCCTTTGTTTCCCTGAAAATCACTTTAAAACATGATTTACTTCTTTTCGTGAATTATTTTAATACCTTCCACACTTAACGATATATATATGCAGAAGTAGTGATATTTTGATGTCTACTGGTTGAATTGTAAAGTTTTCTGTTTTTTTTCCAAGTCTTTAAGCCTCGATAGCATATTGTTAATAGCAATAAATTATATGTTAGTTTCGTCTCATGAAAGTTCACTCTTTCCTTTACGTTCCCAATGGAGCATAGAGCTTCACGCCTGAAATTTGAAGTTTCAATAGAGGTGGTGTTGATTTTCCGGGATGTCGTTGTTAGTTGCCTGCCCAATCTACCATATTTAATAAGCTCACTATCAGTTAAGTGAGCTTTAGGAGTGCGTCAGCCGGGGATCGAATCCGGACGACATTTACCAAACATTATTTAACAATCACCATGTTCAAATACTTAAATGTACTACTTTTATGTGATTTTAGGTTGTATTTATACCCATCTATGCATATTTATATGCGTGTATCAGTTTTTTATATTTTTCCCACCTAAAGTCAACATACAGGCGATGTGCGTCGGTGGCACAGCGGTTAGGACGCTTGCCGACCATGCATATGGTCCGGGGTTGGAATCCCGGCCGACGCACACCTGATATCTATGGTCGGCCTGCAAAATTTGGGCTACCGATATCCATGCTGAAAATTCCATACTTGTACCAAAAATACAGTGTGAAATCAAGCTGTAATCAAGAATTTTAAAAAAAAGATGATGTGCTATTTGATTGGTCAATTGGTTTTGCGCTTTAATGATTGGTTGTTTTATGCTATAAATTGTTGAAATAATACCAGAGACATTTAATTCGATAGACAGTGTAAAGACCTGTACATTTCCAATAATATCTTCCAGGTTTAGAAATATTAAATAGATCTAGAAGTATTTGTTAAAGGTAAATTTTAACATTACATCTCATGTATTAATAGTATATATACATATATATATATATCTTTTTAATGGATTGTGGCATTCATTACTTATTTTTATTTCATTTCAACTTATTTCTCTTAGATGTATATGTCGAAAAGTGTCCTCTTAATCCTAAGCTTCTATATTCATGCTGTATACAGTCAATCAGAGTCTCAATGTAATCTTGAAAATATGCAAGACTGCTGTACTGCTGAAGCCAAGTTGAATGCGAAACGTTGTAAGTAGTATTTTGTGTTCACAGTAATTTTCTCTGTCTAGTTTATTTTATCTAATTCAGTCTGCTAAAATATCAACCATTATGCATATCTGCTTCCCCATCATATTCTTTTTGAACTATTCGCCATCTTATATTATTTATTATTTTAAGTGTTACTGGTCATTCATTTATCAGTCATCTCCATAGAGTGTACTAGATCAACTGGGCTCACAAGTAGAAGTGTGAGAAACACTGACTTCTGCTGTTGGCTTATTACCAACAAGTATAAAATTTAGATGAATTAAAACACCTTACCGAATCGTTGCCAAGGTATAATAGTGGAACACAGTGTAACACGGAGGGCACTGTCTATTTGATCTGTGAGGGACCCGGAAGAGATCTTTCTCAAATATCAGGCTATGAGCTGTACTACTGTTGTATCTCTACAGATGATTCCATCTAGTTGCTCAGGCTGGAGTAGCTGGAGCAATATTCGACCTTGGAATCTCCTGATTGAATGAAAGTTAAATATTTCAGTGAAGAAGTTACATCTTCATGACAAGTGGACACCTTCCATAGTTAGTAAAATAAACCTTATTGCCAACCAGTTGTATGCATAACAACAAAAAAAAACAGTTTCTGCATTATCATATTTAGTTGTTAAGCTCATCCAACTGAAGTGAGAAAATTTCTCACACAATATGATATTTTCAATTTTTGGTTTGATTATTTCAGATGACTTGTGTTTATCAATCGAAGTCGAAGTTTAGAAGTGATCTAATGTGTTATATCTCATCATACACCTAATAGATCAGAAGATCAATAATATAAATGACATCATTTAAAATCTTCTCAAGACTCATGCTTTGTCCTAAAGTTAATTATTACTGGTTTGTGTCTTGACACAGTAACTAAGGTTAAAAAAAGAGCTTTGATTAAAGTTTGTTTAGTAAAGTGTAATGTAAGGACAGCTGAGGAGTTCATTATAATATGCAGTATTATAATATGTTATTTCTATGACGTTATGTATATTTCACTTTTTTTTACATTATTTGAATGTGATACAGTCTGGGTAATTCTCTTCCCCTCAATCCCACCCCCCGACACACACACACTAAACTGCTTTTATTATACAACATATCCATCAATACAAAATAGGTTTCGCAATTTTTATACATATTTTATTTTCATTTTAACAGATACTCAAACTGATACTCAAGGAGCTGACTTCCAACAACTAATGAATTATTACAGAGATTTATGTCAGTATCAAACATTAAATGAACAAGCAGCATATATTCAACAACAGTATGACAAACTTTCCAATGTAAACTTAAAAGAAATGTTTACAACAACAACAAGACGTCCACTAGTAAAAGCTACACCGAAACCCATGATGGCGCCTTCCAAACCACGGCGTCCTTAATCGCATTCAAATCATCGTATACACACATAAGTGAACAACAATATGACTGTTGTATTCTTTAGTCAAGTAGACATATATATATATATATATAAGTAGTAAATATACAACTTTTTTTAAATGAAACAGAGTGTTTTGTTTTACTTTATTTCCTATACGATCCATCATCAAATAGAATATCTTCAGTGATTACTAGTTAATTGGGAAGGGTAATGAAGTATAAATAAAAGAACTGAGTTTTATATCACATAACAGATAAATTTCTTATCGCTCATTCAGTGATGTACTCTGTCAGTAACTAAGCTGTGGGAATAGTAGTTCAGAAACAAAAACAACAACAAAAAAACAAGTGTAGTTTGGTTTGTAAGGGTTAGTTATGTTTTTCACGAGTTGATCACGGATTGATATCAGTTAGAGAACCATTGAAAATCAGTGAGGTACATCCAGATGTCATGTGTGTGGATGGATGTCCCACCAGCGACAATGGTTGGGGTCGCGCTCAATCACGAATTGGTAGAAGTTAGAATTCATAAGCTGGCGATTAAATAGGATCCCAGTGGCTGAATGGTATATGAGCTTGACTTGTAACCGGGAGGTCGTGGGTGAGTATGACCGATGATTCCTAAACTAGAATGGACCAGCTGTCCAGTACTCTCTGGTTTTCAATGGTTCTGTAACTGATATCAATCCGTGGTCAACTCGTAAAAAACAACTGACTCAGTGAAAAGAACGATTAGAGTAAACTGGGCTGATTTAAGTGAAAGATAGGTGTATTCGTGGAAAAGAAATGTGTAACGAAATGTGAGAACATTAAAGACTTTCTATACTTTAAAATGTCACAAGAATACCTTCCACTTCCTGCAGTATTAAAGTGTCAGCATTTATCAGAATGTATATCGCTTACTTCCAGGAGTTAAAATTCTAGACACTTTTTCTGGATTAAATTTACTCGTTCAATCCTAAATAGCATTCTTAATTAACAATACATTAGATCTCTTGAATTTACCGTTTCTTTGCTCCACTAGTCTGACTGACACATATATTCATGTATGGGTGGGGAAAAATAGCTATCGGGAAGTTCAGCTCTACCACAAAAGTATGGGTGTTGATGACACATTCACGATTTTAGAACACAGGACATATATAAATTTTTTGAACACATCAACTCAAAGGTAGAGGCAACTCAATCCACTCATGAATTGGAAAGTCAGGAAGGAGAGCTTCCAATGTTAGATTGTGGAGTAAAAATGAAAGAATACTGGAAATTAAACACTAATGTTTACGGGAAACCCACACATTCACACCGATATTTGGATTTCAGATTATCTCACCTTTTTTTAAATTCCTTTAAGTTCCCAGTGGAACATAGGGCTTCAGGTTAGAGGCTTGAAGATTATGTAGCAGTGTTAATTTTTACAGGATAGGGTTGCTAGCCTCAAGCCCAAGCTTCCTTCTTTACGAGTAGTACTACTGGCTTAGTGAGGTGAAGGAGTACATCGGCCAGGGATCGAACCCCGAAACTTATGCGTGGTTGGCGAAAACTCTACCGCTGTGCCACCGACGCACAATCCCAGCCTGTGTCAGTAAAAATAGGATCGGTGAAATGCTTGAGTAATAGGGTACAAAAGCTAAGTAGTACCAAGGAAAATCTAAGACAGGAAATGAGGCACATAAAGGAAGCTTTGAAACGTAACAATTACCCTGCTGAGTTAATCAAGAAGTATGTGGGAAAATGTGAAAATAAAATTATTAATAATAATGGTATTAATAGTGGTAATAACAACATTGTTATTAATGACGACAAGCACGTCAAACATACACAGAATAATGACAACACCAACAATAGGGAATATAAATCATGCAAAGAAGGAACCTCCGAAACCCTACGCAGAATTCTTAACAAGGCAGGAATAAAAGTGGCTGGATTCAAACCAACCACAAACTCAATTAGAAACAAGCTTTGTCGGTTAAAGGATCAGTCCTGTGGAGCCTTTAAAACAAAACAATCTAGTTCATCTAATACCCTACCTGGAATGATTGCCAGGTCAAATACATAAGTCAAACTAGTAGAACAGGGACAGTCAGACTAGCCGAGCATAAAAACCTAGCAAAATCTAGATTGGTTGACCCGAATAAGATAAGAAATCTAGAGAATAATTCAGCCATAGCACTAAATGCATATGCACACAATCATACAATAAGATGAGATAAGATGACAGTTTTAAAGTCTAACGTAACAAGGCGGAAGGAGAGATTGATAAAAACGCAAGCCTTATTTACCGAATCATCTAAAAACACGTGTAAAAGAAATGATTCAACACCTGTCCCAGACATCACAGGTCGTCGTGTAATTATAATTGATATGATTAGGAACAATAAATTGTGTTCAAAACGTCATCCAGTAAATAGTAATACTGTTTCACTGTGTGATACATCTAATACATAAACTAATATGGAATATTCAAGTATTGGTTTATTTGTAGGGATTTTGTTTGATGCATGGAGGATTTAATCATGAGCTGACATCAGTTAGAGAACCACTGGAAAACCTGGGAGTACTGGACAGCCGTTTCGTCCTAGTTTTTGGACTCCTCGGCAGTACGCACCCACCGGGATTCGAACCCAGGACCTTCTGGTTACAATGGTCTACGAGCTCGCCTTGTAACCAGAAGGTCCTGGGTTCGAATCCCGGTGGGTGCGTACTGCTGAGGAGTCCCAAAACTAGGACGAAACGGCTGTCCAGTACTCCCAGGTTTTCCAGTGGTTCTCTAACTGATGTCAGCTCATGATTAAATCCTCCATGTAATATGGAATTACCCAACCACCACAGTGCCCAAGTTTTACACATATATTCATGGAAATCCTCTACACTCATTCAGCCAACATAAAGAATAAGATTCGGATTGTCAAAAAAAAATGTTTGATCAGTCAGTTCTTCTATACGGGTCACAAACTTACACTACGTGTCAAGAAAAGGATTTCCAACACACCATTGCAGACTTTTATCAACAACTGCCTTCAGCAACCGCTTCCATACTGAAGATCGAATGGTTATCCAGCCAGAAAGAATGAGCAACAAAAAACTCGAGCTGGGAAGAAACCGACCAAAAGCCGATTGCTCAACAACTATATAAGAGAAAATAGAGATGAGTTGGACATACGTCGAGAAGACCGTCAAGTGATATCGTGCCCAATGCAGGCCATCACTCGAGTGGAATCGCAAAGGGGAGGTGACAAGTGGGTGTGACATGGAGGAGATCGTGAGAGTTGGAGGAGATAAGAGGTTATGGGAAATCGTGGACCCAGCTGAAGAGGAGAGGAGAAAAAAGAAGGAAGTGGAGATGTGTTGTTGAAGCCCTATATTCCATTCGGAACACAAGGGAATAATAATAATAAATAAAAATCCCTTTTGCAAAAGCTTTTATTTATCATATAATAAACTACGAAGTTAAATTTCAATATTATTACCATAAGATTGGTACTTCCTAGCCTTCTGGACGTATAATAAGAAGTTTTTCTTGTAAAAAATCTGTATGCAGCTTAGAGGTTTAATGACTGTTGAAATATGAAACACTTCCAGATTAATATTTGATTCATTTTTAAGTCAACAGACGCCAATAAAAGCGAAGACCTTCAGCGAAGAGACTCTTCTCGACGGCGAATTCATTCACATAGCTGTACAATCGCATTTATACATAATTATTTGTGTGTGTGTGTGTGTACATGAGGTTTATCAAGTTTAGATAATTAATCAGGTAATACAAGAATGATCTAATATAGGAACAAAGTTAATCAGACAGCAACTAAAGTAAGATTGAGTTAGTAAGTTAGATGACGTAATATAATTGACTAAAATGTTCCAACCTAGGTCAGGGTAGCAACAGAGGTAATTATAGGGAAGAGAGAGACTAAGCAGAAGTGGGGAATAGAATAATGCCATTTAAATTAGGACTAAAAGAAGCAGATAAATTGGATGACATAACATAAATGACTAGAAAATGGACATTGATCAAGTCGGTAACAGTGGTAGTGAGATGCAGAAATGAAATCGGGTGGGGGTAGAGAACAAGAAAGTTGAAAATGTAAAATATCACAATTGAGAAGACAAAATAATACTAATGAAGAGACAGAAAAAAAATTAGGTAGAATTTACTTGTCGGGTAATAAGATAGATTAAGTCCATTGCAAGTGTAGTGATTGAACGAACTTCCGTATGCAGAGTTCAAGGCTTAGCGAGAGAATCGCCATTGCTTCTTCAGTTCGAAGAAGTCTTATTCGTACACCTTTAGGAAGACTATTTCTTACTCTGTAGACGACTTTGAAGTTTGTTTGCTGTGTATCTTGGTGTCCGGATTCTATCAGATGTTCTAAGATAGAGTTGCGGGGGCATCGTTTTTCTCCTTTGTAAAACTATGTTGGTAAGTGTTCGGTGATACGTTTGGATAGCGAACGCTGGGTACGGCCAACATACCTGGCTTCACTAGAGCAGGTGAATTGGTAGATACACATCGATGAGGCCAGCAGTGGTAGCTTATTCTTCACATTCACATGAATCATAGGTTTTTGGACAATGTTAGTCGTAGTTCAGCTGCGGAGAAGGTCTTCTTAAGTGAGCGCGACAGTCAATTTTTTAGTGTTTCCGCAGATATATCTCCAGTGAATTGAAGTTTCATGTAGAGTAGTTTCCTCGGGACGCCAAGCATGGGCGGCTTTTGTGGTCTAGGATTCATAGATTTTGCAATGAATCTTTCTGGATAAAAACTCTCGACGAGGATTCTCTTCAGATTGTCCAGTTCATCTTCCATGGTGTCCAGGGTGCAAATTCTGCGAACTCTGTAGCTGAGTGAACCGGTCAGGTCTCGTTTGGTGTATAGGTGTACCCAACTGTGACAGTTAGTTAGCTGTCCGTTCCACGTCAACTTTCCGAGGGCAGATCTTTTCAGTGTTCCATCCTGTTCTCGTCTTGTTAATTGGACGTCAAGAAAGGATATTTTGGAGTTGAACTCTTTCTCTAGCGTGAACAGAATCGCTGGGCGGCAGTTGTTAAACATAAAAGCAACTGAAAAGACATCGTTTAGCAAAGGTTCACTTATCGTGTATTATCATTTTGAGCTGAAATTAATGGG